GACATATTTATTTATTAATTTATAGTTTTATTTATTAATTTATAACGACATATTTATTTATTTAGACGGGTTAATTCTGGCAAAAAAAAATTTTTTTTTAAAGATGGTTACTTTAATGTCTATTACAAATTTACATAGCATACCTAGATACATGCTAATGTGTGAAATATAAAGACCTTATAATATTTATTATTATTATGATTATTGCTTGGCAGAAAATCGATTCATTCAGGGGAAGTGCTCAAGTTCTGTGGTCAATATTTCAACCATTTGTGGAAATTAGCTTTTTTATTAAAATATTTATAAATAAAAATTTAAACTTTGCATACATACAAAAAATTTATTTGCACTGATCTGATGTATTTGCAGTTACGCTCATATCAAAAATTACAAAAATGTAAATGTCATGTTACATACTAGAAGTAGTTATCATACTTTTATTTTTTGAGCAGCATTTTTTATAGCAAATATGATTATACGATGTAAACCTGTTTCTTATTACATATCATCTATATAACGTTTGATTATATAGATGATAAAACTGCATGGTTGAATGTTTAATGTAAATAACAGACATTTTGAACTTTAAGTGAGATGGTTAAAATATCGACCACCAACTTATAAAGAGTTAATCTCTATTTGATACTAATAAAAGAAAAGGAAAGAAAATATGTTTCATGTAATTTTTTAAGTAATGTTATTACGTAAAAACAAAAAAGAAGAAAACAAAACAAAAATACACGAATAAATTCAAGTAAATAGTTATATGCAGCGAACAATAACACTATAGTAAATCAATTACATATTTCGTATTATTATATAATTATATATAGTTGTACCGCTTAATGAATCATTCAAAACAGATAAATTTCGCATTAACTTTCCTAGTTATTGCATCATTCATCGAGCGCGCGAAGCTCTTTCGGTAAACGAAAGATGTGCGCCTGGCGGACAGTGTAGCGAGGGGTTAAGGCGTAGGGGGGCGAGGGGTTAAGGGAGAGGGTGGTCTTGTGCTATTAACAGCTAATGAAAATTAGCTTTCGTCGGTTGATTGAGCGTTAAATCGTTCCTTTCTCGTTTTACGAGACAAGTCCGCCGGTGGTGCACTCGAAGCGACGTACTCCTGCTTCAAATTACGAGTTCGCTATAGTCACGACGATAGCGAATTTCTGAGTCAAGGGTTGAAAATGGTTGTCACGCCCATATATTTTCTACTTACACTCTCCAACAACCTTTCTAGAAAAGCATTCACCGACTAAACATTGCTAATTATTTCTTGTCCAATAGTAGTATTTTAAAAGATATGTAATTTTATCTAATTTTCATTTCTTCCAATTTCCTTAAATAGATAATAAACAAATTTTGCAAGTAAAGAATAAAAATATTCGAGGGTGAAAAGTTTCTTAATTCTGATTACATTTAGCCTATTGATAAAGTATAATTTAAAGTAACTTGCTTTTGTAAATTTAATATGTCGTGCGTTACACGATGTGTGAAGTTATTCCATATAGACTTTCATGATTATTACAACGTGAATCGATCAATGATGGAAATTCTGTAATTTTTTAATTACATTTATGAGACAAATATGTTTGTACTCAATTAATTATTAAATTATTAAATCATACAATAATGTAAATTTGTTGTTATATTAATGCAGCTACAAACTTGCTTAAAATTACACTCAAATTGTCACCAAATTACATCATGCATTATTTTGAGCAAATTTTAATTATTCCATTCGTATTTCTATTTTGTCACTTTATAATAAAAGTTTCATATAAAAAAAAAAAAACTTTGTTGAATTAATGTGACGTGTTTGATTAAATTAATTTTCGTGGAAATAAACAGAATTTTTTATTACTATAACGAGATATTCTAGCATACAACCAGAATATTTAGATATCGATGAGAGTTTAGTTACTTTGTACGCAGTAATAGCATTTAAGTGTCTGATTATTATGACTATACGAGAGAAAAAAATATGATTAGATTAACATAACGTGCGAATACAGAACTGGCTAAACAACTGTTAAACTGTTGAACTTGTTGGAACTAAACTTCTTGCTTATTATAATTAAATATTCTGGTATTCAACGCTGGTTACGGGCTAAATTATGGGTTGTTTAAATTCACCACTCTAGTTAATATATCGATACACGTACCTATATATCAAATTAATTTAACCAAACATTTTTCCCGTGTAACGAATCACTCATAAAAGATCTTTACAAATCGATCTAGTAAAGTTGTCACCAAATTTACGTATGCTTGTCTATTTGGGACAGCACTACTTGAATCGACATTTATTTACACGCTTCAAAAAGTCGATATAATGTTTTGATCACAGCTATTAACTTCTGCCTGTAATCCGTTCGTAGTTTGAATGTGCGCACTGAGAAATCGGTGAGGTGCAGTCTTTATAGTCGCTTCTGCAGTCCATTATTGCTTCGTTTAGAATGGTTCTAAACATTGTAGAGCCATAATGCTCTTGCTCTAAACGAGGCCGTTGTGTCGATGTGCAGTCGCTGTTAACGTCAAAACTCGTCGTAATAATTTGCGGCTTGCGTCACGAAAGTTGCACCGACCACTACAGTTTGTTGATACTCAAAAGCGCCAAAAATACGATTTTATGAAGCGGACGTGAATAGATGATTTTACATTCGGGAGCTGATCATATTTTCGTACGGTAGACGTTACCAAAATTGAAGCCCCTTTTATTCATAAGAATAAAAGTAAAAGTCACTTAATTTAATCGGACGAAACTTTTTTTTTATAAATATGCAGGTTAGTTACCGACATTCAGAAATTGGCACTTTAAACGTATTATGTTTTTTCACGTATCTAAATAATTCACATACTTGTAGAGAGATATACATTAAGGTTATGATAATAAGTTGATTGAATCGTACCGATTCCTTGATGCTTACAAGACGGCTCGTAAGGATGGGATGCAAAAGGTTTCGGCGAGGGCGATGTAACACTTTTGTTTACAACAGATGAGTGTCAGATCGAGGTTTTTTCTCGTCTGTCGGTTAAGCCTGCTCGTCTCCGCGTCTGAATAAACATATCTGATGTCTGCCGGGCCCACCCAGACGCAGCCATTAAAACCCTTATGAGAAAGTCGGTTGCAATGCCGCGTGGGGAAGCTCATTTTCCACCTGCGGCATCGTGCTTTCTTTCCGAAACTTCAAGGATTTCGGGTAGTGGGGAGAGTTGAGAAAAAACTCACTTGTAGAGTATAGACGATATATATATATTTCAAGACACCTGCGCGACCATCTCGGTGTATTTAAACAATAAATTGAATTTGAACATGATACACTGGTGACGCACACGTTAAACAAATTCGTCGTTAGCATGAAGTATTTAATCTACATCTTTGGCATTGCATGTGTCTCGCTAGTAGTGACTCGAACAAATTTCTTATTTCTCACTGAACGATCATATGTAACGTTTTCCGTGACGTCTTTATGATCAAAATTGACATTGATTGGTTGGCGACGTTACAATATTAAATAGTTGTAACAAGTCATCCAACTTTGTCTTGGAATATATCTCGGAAACATTAAAGTTGCAAAATATCGAGAGCTTAACGGAAACATTAAGATTATTTTTGAGACTGTGTCCTTCGATTTTCTATTTAAGTTCGAGATTGAGTATCTTGCGCGATGAAGGAGAATGGAAAAAATCCGATATCTTCATAGTCGCGTAACATACTCCTGCCTTGAAGCGCGAATATCAAGTAAACGCTGTAATTTGGCATCCGACCTTCGTTTCGCATTTTATACACTTATTTACAGGCTAATTTACACGATCGTTTCTATATTCGTCGTTGATTCATAATAAATACGCGTGTACGATGGCAGAAGAAAGATTGAAAATGATCGGCGATTTCTCAGACAGCTCTACGAGATAACTAGTAGATTATTGCTACGCGTATTATTACGATGCTAAGAAGGTTGCACGAAGTACCCGAATAGAGATTTCCCAAGATTTTCCTAGATATAGCATAAATTCCGATAAAAATACTCAAAATTAGCTATCCTATTACGATACAAATTAGAGTCCAAATAAAAAAAAATTTCCAGGAGAAACAAGTCATCGTCTGACCAAGCTGACCAGAAATCAGTCAGTAACCAGAATTTCTAGTCAGTTACTACCTAGAAAGGGATCCCTTCTTCTACTTGGGGAGTCCTATTTTTTCCACCATGATCCTGTTAATCATATATTTTGCCTTATAATAATCAAAATTCAAACATGCAGCAACGTGACTATCTTATCCTGGCACTGAATTCAGTTGCCTAATAAAGCAGGACAAAAGAAGGCCACATATAAAACATATGTCCTGATTGATAGTTTCGGGATCTTTGCCTGCCCATATGCTTAATTTTAATCGTTTTATAAATAAAAATTGCTTTTATTATTCAAAACAGTACATCATTTGAAGAAATGTCATTCTAGATAGTAACACATCATTTAATTTTTTTACTCGCAATGGAAAATATTAATATAAAATAGAGATGTGCGAATCAAAGATTTTTTATGTCGAATCAAATTGAATCTCAGATTTTAATTTCGAATTCGAGTCGAATTGAATCGATAAAATTTCATCCGAATCGAATCGTTGAAAGAATTTTTAATTAATATAATCATTGAATACAACATGAAAATAGTGACTTCAGTATGAGAGAGATAACACTGGTCATGTGATATCAATTCATTTTAAGGTAAGAGATATATAATATATAGTCGGTAAATGTGTATGGAATACAGTTCCAGCCTTGAAAGTTGCCTAACGACACATATCGATCCGACAGTTGTCGGTAAAAGTTTAAGAAGCCATTATCTTCTTTTTATATTTTTGAAGAAAATCTTAATGTATAGCAGACTTTTCAAGTCATGCTAATTCCCGTAAGACTGGATGTCTAATAGTTCTTCGTTAATGCTAGTACGCGATCCGTATTCGAATCTTTTCGATTCGAAATTATTCAGATTCGAATCAGAGGGATTCGAATTTGAATCGAATCGAATTCAAATAATTCGAATTCACTTGATTCGATTCGAATTCAAATAGTTCGCACATCTCTAATACAAAAGTAATGAAATGTTAGCAACGCTCTTTACTCGATTAAAAATCAAGCGCGCCAGTAAGATTGCATACGCAAATAGTGTAATCAAATATTAGAGACAAATCTTCAGAATAATGAAGTGATGAAGAGATTTTAATATTATCAAATACAATGCAACAAAAGCAAATGCGTTTCGGTCCATCAGACTCTTAATGTTTCTTCCTGATTTTGTGTGTTTTGTATATTTTTTATTGCTAATCTCTATCAGTTATTATATTTGCTTCATATTCTATGTATATTTCGCTTGGCTTGCATCAGCATCGCTCCTTAATTCCTAGACAGCACAAATCTTCCAAAGGACGTCTTGAGGACGTTTTGAAGACGTCCTGACGACATAAGGACGTTCTCAGGACATCCACGAGACGTCCCTTGGAGATATGTGCTATCTGGATTATGTCTCCAAAAAGATGCATGTTTCACGTTCACGGGAACAGCGGAGAGACAGTTTACTCTTTTGCTTTGCTTTATGCCGCTTGCTGTCATTTATATATCTATAGTGACAATCGTCGTTTGTTAAAACGTATCGGTGAGTGATGCTTGTCGGAAATAAGCTTACGGTTATATATCTGATTTAAAACCGGAATTTGCCTGTTATTTTCCGATCATGTAGCAGAGGAGTTAACTCATTGCTTTGATCTTACTCACTTAACATTGACGATTATTAATTCATTTATTTATATCTGTTTTCTAAATATTATTCCACTTAATAGAGTTCTGCGTTGGGTTCTTTTCAGTGGTATTATTTTCATAATATTGTTTGGTTTTGTTGTATTTAATACTATTAATATTTCCTCAACACATTCTGAGGATTTGTCTCTAATACTTGATTACACTATTACACTTGTATATTTGCTCTAATTGGCCCGCTTTGCTTCTATTTTGAATATTAATACAAAATTTCGAGAGGCTCGAAAATTTATTTTACTAGTAAATCAATGTTTTCTATTTTTTAACTATATAATATTATCCTGATTTTAATAACTCAGAATTTAATAACTCAGAAGAAAATATTTATGTTCTAAAAGGGCTATTTTGTGATTTTGTATCTACTCTCCCTCTCAAAATAAATACTAAAAAAAAGCACATGAACAACATATCCCATCTAGATCCAGTCTCCCCTATATTTTTAAGCAGAATCCAATTATTTTGGTGAATCGGACTAGATCCCAATTAGATTGCAAGAAATGTTCTATACGGGTACTCATATATGGAAGCCGATATCTAGTAAATAAATATAAATTGAGGTTACATGTCACTTTCGTTCAATGCGGCTTAACGTGTGATGTTCGTCAAGACTCTCGGCTAATTTCTTGCATGATTTCTCGGGATATCTCCTTTCAGGAAACTCATAAATTCTCCAGAATAGTTTTCTCTCGAACATCTCTGTTACAACCGGTCTATCTAAAATATCGTTCTGAAAGATGACACATTTGACGTCATCATCCGAAGCGACGTTACTTTTATTTCGATGAACCGAACGATACACACGGAAGTGCATCGCCAATCGTTCATTTCTCGTCCTTGATCTTGGAGATTTGGCTTGGGACGAAGTCGGGCGTGATCGCGCTTTGTACCTGAACGTGGGTGGCATGCAAGGGTGGGCAGAGCAGCGGGTGATATGGCAAATAACAATACGGGAAACTGCCGAGTGCCTTGTTCGCGGGATGAATCTGCGGGCTCGACATTTGTGCGGGAAGTTGGCCGGAACCACGAAGAGGCAATCCCCTCAAATGTTCCTCCGGATGTACCAGGACGCGTACTGCCACGCGCCTGGCGCTCCCGGAATTCACGAGGGCGCCCAGCTCCTGTTGCTGGCGCCGTTTGGTTTTGTACCTGAAAGCAGAAACGAGAGGCGTTCGCGTGAAATCGCGGTGGACATGCGTTGTACCGGAAGGAAAGGTGTCGAAAAACGAAATACAAAGCGAAAGTTACCTGGAAAGTTACTATGTCATAATCCGAATACGGAGGCAAATCCCCGAAAAATAATTTTATCGAAACCATATTGCAAACAATACAATTTCCTTGAGAAGTTATAATATCGAAATGCAAATACCAAGACAATATCCTGAATTATTATTTCATCAAACACGGGGAAAAAGTCGAACCAAAACGCGTTCAGCTTCTTCATAGTCACGTTAATTCAACCAAACTTTTTTTAGATATAGGAGAAATGAGGGAGCTGTAGACAACAATCAAAAGATATATTCTGTCTTTCCGGGATATTGTTTCGATATTTGCATTTCGGAATTATGACTTTTGGGAAAATAGTCATCTTCCCTAAATTCTTTTAACTTTGATTTCGCGATTGTATGTCCACCGAAATTGCGATTTTTGAAATAGGCAACATGTATTCCGAGAAGATTCTCACACAGAGAACAACCAAGTAGAACAATTTCCGTGAAAAACTGGTCGCTAAATTTAGTCCGTTCATCGTCACATTAATTCGACCAGTCTCCTTTCTCCGTGCATGTCCAAGTCTAATAATTATACAAGTGCAAAGACGAAAGATCGCACCGTCGATTCTGAAACCAGATCTTCACTTGCGTCTCCGTCAGTTTTAAGCCGCGTGCTAGATCTGCTCTCTCGGGACCTGACAGGTACTTCTGAGCGGCGAATCTTCTTTCGAGCTCGTAGACTTGTGCATGCGAGAATGCTGCTCTGCTGCGTTTCTTTCTACTCTGTAAGCTCTGCCCCGGATTTTGCGACTCGTACGCGTCGTCCTCTGTTTCATCTGAAAAACATCGAATAAGAATTTCTACTTCGTAAGTTGGATTGTGGTTCCGCGCGAATGGAAATTTATCATGAAGTTTCAGCGGTTTCGGTGTTTACGTAGACATACTTTAGAGCATGGAGTTACAAATGACCAATAACGCGTCGAAAGAACAGGGAGGGAAGAAGGTCGCGCGGTTTTCGCGAGCCCTCAAGCTTTCCTACACATCAACGCGCAGCGTGGAATCCCGTTTTTCGAATAATAACGCGAGCTTGCCGTTCGGATTCGTTTGCGGATAAATATTTAGGCTCGCGCGAGAATCTGCATCTATACCGTAAAGCAATCGTTTAAGCCGAAAGTCGGAGTAACCATCAGCGAGCGAGCGTACAGACGGCGAACGATTGGAGAGGGAAGGAGAAAGAGAAGCTTCGTTGCTTTTGATGTCTCGCACAAACATTAACACATGTACTCGCTACTCCGACATGTTTACGCTCGTGTTCCGCGGTAATTCTCCTCTAAGTTTAACCAGTGGTACTAGAGTACAATCATATTGCAGATCAGCCTGGCTTCTTCTACTTGGCAACGCGCTCGATCTCGCTACTTCGCGTATCGTCATTCTATCGTAGCGTGAGAAGCAATCCATAACTTCTTAATAAGGCCGATTAATTAAGATGATTGTGTCGCAAAGTATCGCACTTTCAGTGGCACATCGAGAAGACCACTCATAAGTTTACTATTTATCGAACAAAATTAGGAGAATTACTAACATTAAGGGTTATTAATTTTAATTATTAATATTAGGAGATAAGAATATTTTAATAACAAAAATATATAGTTTTATCGTTTTACAAAAAGTGTTGTCATTAAATAGTAACAATTAATTAAGCGTGCAGTAATAATTCTTATATTTTATATGTCTTTTAATAAGTCGCTTTTAGGAACTTTTGAAAATTAATGATTAGGAGACAAACAAGTTTTATGAAGTACTTTATTTATTCCGCGTAAAGAGCATAGTTAAGTAGTGTTTTCAGAAAAACAATAATTTTTAAAAAGACTCGCATGCGTCAATCGAAAATACGACATGCGTCTCGCGTTTTTCATTTCTCAGGAGATAGATGTTTCTAAATAATCGCGTGCGCGAGTCAATCGCAGGGTTCCCCAGCGATACCGTAATTATTTCGCGCTCAAAACGCTCATCCTACGTCAATGTTTATCGGCGGCGGTCGGTAGGGGACGCGGAGCATTTAGAGAGATCTATATTTGATCACTTTCGACGTCAACTAGATGCCATCTCGTCCGGCTAATGCGTCCATCCTTCGTCGCTCGTCAAACATCGTACACCGCTTCTATATCGAGAGAGAGATAGAGAGAGAGAGAGAGAGAGAGAGAGAGAAAGAGAGAAACAAAGAAGGAGTGAGTTCGGTTCCAGACGAGCAAGTGGCGTCGACTGACTCTGATTACACCGATGATCCTTCGAGACCACTAAAACGGCTTTTCGGCTTACCACCACCTCGGTTGCGACGCACGAAAAGTGGAAGGAATTTTCCCGCGGCTTAGTAAAAGCGTTAATAAAAGGTTATTCGACAAATTCGTTGTGACAATGCGAATTCTTATAGCCGCGCCCATTACCATATTAAATGACTGGTGAGATTTCCCCTCAACGGGCGACTCGCAATTTTCTGAGTGCACCTTGAACCGGTGCCAACTCGTGCCTACCTCTTCACCCTCGAGCCGCTGCAAACAATACTCTATCGCGGCTCGTGCGGTTTCAGGTGACGATCCTTCACTTAAGAGCAAACGCTACACACTGCACTTTCACGTAATGTGAATTACCTAAAGCTCGATATTACCTTAATGAAACCAGCTCTCTCATGACTCTCAAATCGCAATAGAATTCGACGAACAACCAACGAATTGTTCGATTTACGTTCACCAAGAGGATTCTCTCTGGGGAGTATTATTTATCCTGAGAATCTTGAATTCTCTTCTCTTTAATATGTCGTATTTATTTTTGATATCCAGCAAGACTGTGAAAGAGGGTTAAAATCGGAGTCGCGTGTGTACCTTGCAGAGGCTGTTAATCATGATAGATTTCATAAAACAGGGGAGAGTGAGCATCTGTTTGCTCCGATGCTGAGATAACACTATTGGACGATGTAATTCTATATCTGCCCTTCATATCGTAGTAACGAGAGTGAATATAACGGGAAAAAATGGACACGGCGGTAAGGGAGTGACGCGCGAGAGATTGACCAGCGAAATACCGTCGTCTCAATGCGCGATACGCGGACGGACGCATGGCGTAAGCGGATGCAAACGATTAACTAAGAATTATTGCTATCCATATAGTATGTAACGCACACCTAACGCCACATCTGTCACGAGATAAATCAATCGCGAGCGTTTACTCGGAAATAGTTAGCGATCGTAACCTTGATCTAAAACGGTTTTTGAGGTAATCCATGGATCCTCGATGGGGATGGATGGATGGATGGATGGATAGATGGATAGATGGATGGATTGCTCGAGACAGCGGCGGAGTGTGGCCAGAGATCGAACAAGTGCAAGAAGTAGAGTAGCCGGTACTCGTGACGTCTGCCGCGTCGAGTGCCACTTATGCTACTAAAATTACATTCAATTACGTTATCTGCGCTCGGGTTAACTTTAAAAACTCTTGAAAGGAGCTCGCCTGTTACGCGGATATCTGCTCAAATGACCTCTTAAAACCACATCCTCGTGCTCGACGCAAGATCCTGCGCCAGGTCAACGTTTTCTTTTTTCTTTTAAGGGGAATATCGTGGATATCGTTTCCACTCAGCATATTTGGGTCTAACAAGTCATTCCATTTTGAGGCAACTAATTTCTTTTCTTAGAACACTTTATGCATGTTTAATAATAAGTCACACTTTTTGAGGTCCATAAACTGTTCATATCTTTGTAATTTATATTTACTAAATTTAGAAACAGTATCTTGAAAAAAATGCTTCTATATGTAATTTTATTGTATTTAGGAAATTTACTGTCGCTATATCGGTATATCGGTCATCCCATAGAAAAGAAATTGCGCATTTGTAATTCCAAAAATTATATATACAGTGAGTCCCACCTAACTCCTTAAATATCTCATTTATTTTTTATTGCATGAAAAAATTCAGAAAAAAACATTTGTTTCAAAGAGAAAATATTAAAATAAGCAAAACATTTTTCTCAAGATTACTAGTGTTTACTCATACTACTTATAGTTCTAGTACTAATTTATAATTCTTGTACTAATACGCTTCTGAAAACATAAAAAGACCAGATAAGCAATCATTTATTAATGAATTTATTAAGACGGAAACAAAAAAAAGAGAGGTCAAATTTACTTATGTTTATAAATCATATAATTTCCTAATGTTTACGCTGCAAATCAAGTGTTATTTCTAAATGCATAAGCAGTGTAATTTGTTTGAAGCTCGTTTAACACGTTTCTTGCGGTTTTAACGTCATTTGACAACACGTTTAAGATATATAAAATTATAATTTAATATGTTTCAACGTGTTAAATGACTTAAAATGGTAAAAGGACATGTAAAAAAAGATTGAGCAAAAATAACACACATGGATTCGCAGTGTAAGGTGTTAGAGTTAATTACCGGTAGCTCTGGAGCGTTAATTTGCGTAAACAATACTACGTACCTAAGTACTTGTTCTTGCTCATGTCCAACGCTTCGTCCTGCTGTCTATGAGAGGTCTCCATCGGTTCCTTGACAGGCTGATACGCCGTCAGGTTTCCCAAAGCCTCGAGGTGATGCTTAAAAGTGCCCTGAGTCAAGTGTGCGCCACCAAAATTCGATAGGTTGGATAGGTTCACTTGCGCCAGGTTCCTCCTTAAGATATCAAGCTCATGCACCGTACCCAGCTCTGGGGTGGGCAGCCTCGGGTAATGAATCACCTGGTCGTGCTCGTATCCGCCGTCCGGATGCTCGTTCTCTGTGCGATCGTATTCCCGACTGTGTCTCTTGGTTGGCATGAAAACGGCGGCCTGAATTTTCTCCAGGTCGCATCTCCTCGAATCCGCGCAGGAGGTCTCGCGGCTGAGGATATCAGCGATGCTGAAGGGGGTCGGTTGGGAGGGTTTCGGCGAGGTCTCGCTGCGCTTCTCGTCTTCCATCACTCTCTGCGCTCCGTTGTTGTCCGTTTCCTCGCGGGTCTTACGACGACACCTCGAGATGATTCCTTCCGCAGCGTCACTCCCTCAATTCGCTCGGGTCATCCTTCTCATAACTAATTAATATACATAACCACAGTCGAATGTCCGCGCACATGCAAACTCGTTACGTCACATATTACGAATCGTCTGTAGACCGCTTGCCATCGTGTCTCCTATCTTCGCGGCCTTGTTTTATTACGCACCTTTTTCTACTTCTCGGTTTTGCAACTTGGATCTTTTTCACTCTCGCGAACTCGTTACGCGTTCGAAACGGCTGTACGTCGAGTCTCGTCAGTAACTCGTGCTTTCACTTCCGCGTCTAGCCGGCATCTGCCGTCGGGACGAAAGATTGACCGTGGAATACTAGACGTCTTCACAGTGCGTTCACATAATCCCTGAAGGCCCTCCAGCGGTGATCCCAGAAGATCAGTGACAGAGGTCGGCTAGCGTTATTAATTGTTATTCGCGAGTGCTCGACCCTTCCGATTCGAGTGTGCTTCTGTCAAGTGTGCTTGTCGCCCATGTAGACTTATTTTTCGAATTACCGCACTCCACCACCCGCGACTCTCCCTTCCACCCTTCGGAAGAGTCTCCCTCTTTTAGTCGATTGACTCCCACCTAAGAGGCGCACGCTCTTCTCACCCTTCTCTTCTCTGTCTCTTTCTCTCCCCTCTCTCTCTCTCTCTCTCTCTCTCTCTCTCTCTCTCTCTCTCTCTT